CATAAAACATAAGCTTACTACGGAGCCCCGGAGGGGACGGAGGTGAAAAAAAAATTAACTAGAGAGAACGTTTTGCAGTTTGTATGCACGTTTTCTTTTATTCGTGGTCACGATTTCTTAAATCATTCCCTCGTTTTCTCTTAATCGTCCACACGTCTTCTTTACTTTGTGAGTAGGTTTTTTTTATTTCGTAATCTCGATTTTCTAATTCGTTCTCTCGTTTTCTTTTAACCGTGGTCATGTTTTGTTTTTAACTGAATGCACATTGTTTGTGTTTTGATAACAGCTCCCTGAGACTGTCTGATGGGTTTTGATGTTTTAGATTGATGAGATAATGAACAGAGATGCTCATCAGGTCTGATTTTGATGTGGGGGGTTACAAGGAAACTGCAGCTCCTCTTCACAGCAAACAGCCCACGGTGTTTCTGCTCCCGCGTCAAGCTGCGGTGTTAGAGACCATCACACAATTACAGAAAGAAATGATCAGCATTTCAACATCCTCACATTAACATATCTATATCTAATCCATAGATCTGTTAAACTCTCTGACCATTTGACCTCATCCCACATGAATGTGTCTGTGTGTGTTTAATTTGAGTTTGTTGAAACGTCGACGCTGATCATTTCTTCCTGTAATTGTGTGATGATCTCTAACACTGCAGCTTGTCGCGGGAGCAGAAACAGCGCTAAGCGGCCGCGCTGCATCTATATCTCTGTTAAATATAATCATTAGCAAGTGAAGTTTAGTGACGATTGTGGTTGTAGTTTATTGTCTTCCTTCATTTCACCACCAAACTGCAGCTGCACTGATGAATCTGTGGGCCGTTTTCTGTGATGAGGAGCTGCAGTTTCCTCATAACGCCCCAAATCAAAATCAGACCTGATGAGCATCTCTGTCCATCATCTCATCAATCTAACACATCAAAACCTGTCAGACAGTTTTGGGGAGCTGCTAGTTACTTCTGCACAGGACAAATAACACAACCTGTATCTACTACATTTAAGAAATCGTGACCACAAATAAAAGAAAACGTGCGTATGAACTGCAAAACATTCATTCTAATTAATTCTGTTTCTTCCGGGGCTCCATAGCTTACAAAAGTGGAGTTTAAAAAAATTATTAAGGGGGGCTCCCGAGTGGCGCAACCGCTTAAGCGTTGGCCCTATCATCAGGAGATCGCGAGTTCGATCCCTGGTGATGCTACAGCCATCCGTAGCCGGGAGTCCAAGAGAGCACAATTGGCCTCGCTCTACCTGGGTGTGATGTGAGTGTATGCATTAGTGTGCGTGTGTACATCTTTTAATCAGTGTGTTCCATTACATATCACTTGTTACTTATCTCGGAATTTAATGGAAGTGCTTTAATTACTACTTCCTGGAAAAGGTACTCTCATTACTTCCACTTTATTTTTTAAACCACATACAAATCTGTAGCAACCACAAAGTACAAGGGAAAACTCAGAAACCAGTTTCAACCACAGTAAACATCATTTAAAAGGCATTTTATTATCCCTGCCTTTACTTTATCTCACCACGACACAGCCTGTTGTGCTTGATTCAAATCATGAAGGCTAATGCTGTTTAGAAATCTAACAACTATTCAGTAGAAACAGTTCAAAAACAGGTGCCTCGAAACAAAATCTTTCAAAGAAAAGGCTTACAGAGCTGATTCATAGTGAATATCAAATCCAGCCTGTTTAGGTGAGTTGTGGGTTCTTTCTTCTTCAGCAAGGGAGTCTTTATCCATCACGTTAACATTTGGATGATGAAATGCTTTGACATATTGCTCATAAAGTTTACAGCAGCTACCAGTGCTTCTCACGCTTGTGCTGCACTTCTCATATTCACAGTCATGCAGTCAGTTGACTGTTTTTACAAATGAGTGCAAATTATGTATAACAACAGTCATGGATAATCTATATAGAGGAAATGTATGTTTTAAATGCTTTGCATGTAATTAACAATATTCTGCTAAAGACATATAAGTAATGCAAGTAAGTTGTGAAGTCAGTATTTATATTGTGCTTAAAAGAATTTAAACTTTAATCTGTTACACTACACTACAAGAAAAAGTAATTACATTACTGTAACTCATTATTTTGTACCATGTTACCCCAAACACAGGATATAACTGATGGTGTAGTGCTTGTGAAAATGTGTGTGTGTCTATGTATCTAGGTGTATGTGTGTGTGTGTGTGTGCATGTGTGTGTGCATATATGCATATGGACTATGGTTGTGTGTGTGTAAGTGTTTAGGCTGTGTTTGTACATATATGTATATGTTTATGTGTATGTTTGTGTATATACGTACATGCATCTATGCTGTATGCGTGTGTGTATGTGCGTCTAGGTTGAGTATGTGTGTACATGAATCTAGACTGTGTTTGTGTGTATACGTATATGCATATAATCTGTCTGTGTGTATGTATATGCATTTAGGCTGTCTGTGTGCGTATGTGTGTGTATGTGTCTAGGCTGAGTGTGTGTGTGTGTGTGTGTGTGTGCACGTCTAATTTGTGTGTGTCTAAGCTGTGTTTGTGTGTGTGTGCATGCATCCAGGCTGTGTTTGTGGGTGTGTATGTATATGCATCTAGGCTGTGTGTGTGTGTGTGTATATGTGTGTGTGTGTGTGTGTGTGTGTGTATGCGTCTAGGTTATGTTTGTGGGTGCGTATGTATATGCATCTAGGCTGTGTGTGTGTATGCATCTAGGCTGTGTGTGTGTGTGTGTATATGTGTGTGTGTGTGTGTGTGTGTGTGTGTGTGTATGCGTCTAGGTTATGTTTGTGGGTGCGTATGTATATGCATCTAGGCTGTGTGTGTGTATGCATCTAGGCTGTGTGTGTGTATGCATCTAGGCTGAGAGTCTGCATCTGTTTGTGTGTATGTGAGTGTTTGTGTGTGTATGCATCTAGGCTGTGTGTGTGTGTGTGTATGCATCTAGGCTGAGAGTCTGCATCTGTTTGTGTGTATGTGTGTGTTTGTGTGTGTGTATGCATCTAGGCTGAGAGTCTGCATCTGTTTGTGTGTATGTGTGTGTGTGTATGCATTTAGGCTGTGTGTGTGTGTGTATGCGTCTAGGCTGTGTTTGTGGGTGCATATGTATATGCATCTAGGCAGTGTGTGTGTATGTGTGTGTGTGTGTATGTGTACGTCTGTATATATGTGCCTAGGCCAAGTGTGTGTGTGTATATGTGTCTCGGCTGTGTTTCTGTGTGTGTGTGTGTGTGCGTGTATGTCTGTATATATGTGCCTAGGCCAAGTGTGTGTGTGTATATGTGTCTCGGCTGTGTTTCTGTGTGTGTGTGTGTGTGCGTGTATGTCTGTATATATGTGCCTAGGCCGAGTGTGCGTGTGTATATGTGTCTCGGCTGTGTTTCTGTGTGTGTGTGTGTGTGCGTGTATGTCTGTATATATGTGCCTAGGCTGAGTGTGTGTGTATATGTGTCTCGGCTGTGTTTCTGTGTGTGTGTGTGTGTGTGTGTGTGTGTGTGTGTGAGTGTGTGAGTGTGTGTGCATCTAGGCTAAGACTCTGTGTCTGTATGTGTGTATGTGTGTGTGTCTACATCTACCTATGAGTGATTCAGGAGGGAGAGGACTGTAAGAACAGGCTGTGTGTGTGTGTGTATGTGTGTGTGCCTGCGGGCTGCCTCAGGCAGGCTGCTCACATCAAAGGCTTTGCTGTGTCTCTAGAGGAGCCGAGAGATCCAGCCTCAGGCCTGCCCAGGCCTTCACACACTCGCCTGAGGGGCCGCCGCCACTGCTGCAGCGCTGCCACACACTGCTAATCACAGCCAGCTCCATGCTCCGCCAAACCAGCCGCACACCACGCATCACACTCACACACACACAAAGGTAGTAGCCCAGACAGAATGAACTGAGCAGCCCAAGAACCACTGTCCTGTAATGAACCAGGACACGGAGGGTTAAAAATGAAGTGTTAACTACTAAACCATCAGCGTGTTGTGTGTTATTGAATCTGGGAATGAAGAAAGAAAATATGACCAATGCATGTGTGCCGCTATTCAGACTCTGTAAGAAGCACTCGTGTCGGTATGAATTTGTTATGGAAGCCGTATGTAACTGTGACACATCTATCCTTTGCTACCTGTAAACCGCGTAAATCAGTCTCCACAACTGAAACTCTTCACTGTTCTAGCCTGATTGTCACAAGACTTTGAGATGTCTAGACCTGACTGCTTGTCTTCCACAGCCATAAAGTGAGAGCAAAACTCCAAACCCTGATTTATGATCAAAATAAAAGCAAACTGTGCAACATGGAAGGTTTTTTTTGAGACATCTACCAAATGTTACATTGATATTTCTATTCTGCTGACAAAATATTCATGACTCATGGTCAGGAAGGTGCTTAGGTTCTGTGTTGCTTTGCAATATTTACAGAATATAGTAGTATCATCATAATATCATAGAAATAAGAAAGCATTTGGCATGTTCCATATGAGGACATTTATTTCAATACTCATGGATTTTTAATCTTTCATAAATTTTATGTATGAAAATGGTGTATTCTTTCAGACTATAATAAGCAAAGTCCAGACTATGGCAAAGCAGGACAATTTTGACTTACTGGACAATGACATAAGCTTTAGCATTTCACAGTGAGGAAAGCATGTTGTAATTTCATAATTATTACATTAAATTACCTCATATTTGTATGAGGCAATACAACATAAATCTGATCAAATATTGTTGTGCATATAGTCATTGTTTGGAGAAAAGAACCATCTTTTCAATTTTTAGCATGCTTTGTCATTTAATGACAACAAAACAAGGAGAAACAAATCAGAAGTGTAGATGATAGAATGAGAATTAAATGCAAACATCATTTAACATGTAATAAACTATGTAATTAATTATACAGTTATAACTCCAGACCTCTATGGGTTAAACAACATCCAGATTTTATTTCAACCCTCCTGATGAGCAAAATGTTTGACCACTCTATAACTCTGTATAACATGACCCTGACCACAGCTCACCTGTAAACGGCCCGTTTGTCTGACTCCAGCTGGGCCTGTGGGTCAAGGGTCACACTGACCGGAGTGGCCCCGGCTGTGGATGATGCTGAGATGTGGACCTGCTGGGCCTTCGAGTTCTGCTGCGTGGTGCCCGTCATCTGGAGGGAGAAAACAACATATATAAGCTGCAGCCTACAGCCTGAAGACACCAGTACAAGTGCAATCGCTGACTCTGCAGGTAGAAAGACGCTCACAGACTTTTCTCTTCACTTCGCCTCGGGAGAATCTCTGCCACCATCTTTAACTACAAAAGCATCAAAGGAAGTTAAACCCATCAAAACCCTGATTTAAGTCAAGGGAAGAAGTCTACAAAACTGTAGAATTCAGGCTGGTCCATATTCTGAGACGTATTTAGATTCTTCATAGTTTTCATCAAAAGAAAATAGTAATTTTACAGGAGAAGGAAAACATTTCTTAGCTTATAATGGAAGTTAATGTAAAATGATTACTGTCTAAGTGATTTTGGACCACTTCTGTTTATTCATCATATCATTTTTACACAATGGAAAAGTCAGCTGTCAGTTTCAAATTATGTAATAAAGTAAAAAATGACAAAAATGGAGATTTTGTTCTGACAATATTCTTTTAGTTAAAATGCCACATCTTATTATATATATATATATATATATATATATATATATATATATATATACACATACAATTTCAAGAATATAAAGTAAACCTAATTCTTCTAGCTACTTACAGAACAACTGCAAGCATTTTTTTTGTCTTTTGGCTGAAACTGTAATCCAAGTGATGAACATGTTTGCTTACCTCACCCTGACAGCAGCTTGGTTTGCTAGTTAGCTAAGTGTAGCTTGGCTGTTATCAGGCACACAAACCACTGATTAGGGCTGTTCGATTCCAGAAATTCTGGACTCTGAGCTCCATTAAAAGTAATGGAGTTGATTCCAAGAGTCGATTCCACTCAAAAATGAAGACACAATCCCCATTTGTACATCCACTTTTATTTTTCAATTTTTTGGCTTTTCACTTTGTTAACTTATTAGTGTGTGTTGTGCAAGGATGCATTTTCTCAGACAGGCTGTCACAACAGTGAAAGCAAAATCTCACTCCTACTTTGTGCTCAGTTGCAAGTAAACCTGAACATCACTGTGTGGAACAGAGTGCAAAGCTTGAGGTGAACTCTTGATTCCTACATTGTTAGATTCCTAGATTCCTAGATCGACTCTTTTTGGGATCGACTCCAAACCCTACCACTGATCCACGTTTGCAAGTTTTTGAAGGAGTCAGTCCTTTTTATTAAAAAAGGGTCCAACAGCCCAGTTTCAAGGTTCTGGAGATGTGCATGTCCAGACAGTTTTCAAATTGTGCAGAAGACATGAAGCATGCATAAAACAGCCCAAAGGAAAAGTCTAGGATCAGGTTCCTCCACACATTTCCCATCCTTAGGACAGTGTTTCCTAGCACAGGAAGGGCAAAACATAGGCCGGGCTACAGACTTAAACTAAGAGGCCTATATGGAAATACTATTTAGCATCTTTTCCTGGCTAGCTGCCAGACACTGGCGTCTTATCAGATTTTGCTTAAGAGAGCCTCACTTTTGAGCTTGTAAGGACATCTTTTAATACAAAAATGAGTCCATGATAGTGAACTGTCAATGCCTGAGTTATTCAAAGAACTGATCTGGCAGCAATGGTTTTATGATTATTAAAGCAACTGAAAAAGGAATTCAAATAAAAATAACAGGAAAGGAAAACCAGCATAAAAAGATTTAAAATTGGAAAAATAATCCAAGCCATTCATCCAACTCATCCAAATAACTGGTTTGTCCATCATTTTAAGAGTTTTGTTTACTGTCCCACCCTTAACATGATAAATGTTGTCCTGCCATCTATCCAAACAATGAAAACAAACCCTTAGAGATGAGTCTAGTGTCTAGACTACACTGTTAAAAAGGAGTAAAACAAAAGTTTGTAAAGTTGCCAGTACAAAACTGTTAAATAACAGTCAAAAAACTTTTTGCTTTTTATCCAGTGTTTCTTCCACTTTAGTCATGGTCCTCTAGTAAGGACTATTTCTCATAATGCTGCTAACATGTGCCTTCTTAGTAGAGCTTTTGGCTTTACATTAATAATGAAAAACAACATATTTCTGGATACACAGTCATAATAGGCCGCATTTACTGATGTTTATTGTAGAAAGGGTTGAGTTTTTGTATAACATTTCTGATAGCCCACACTTTTATGCTGTTAAATGTTTCCCTGCACTCTCAGAAAAAAGGTACGAGACTCTGGGGCAGTACCCCTCTTGTCACTGGGGTGGGACCCTCAATGGTACATCTCAGTACCTTTAGTCAGGGAACATAATTGTACCATAATCCACTGAAATTATATTTCCTAAGATCCTCTATTTTAAACAATAGATGATAAAATGATACAAATATGTACTTTTTACTTGCAAAAAACTTTTTCAAGTTACAGATTTGGACTTAAACCCACTGTTGTACCTCTGAGGGAACATTTACATTGTTTGTACCTTGATGAATGAAAAAATGTACCTGCACAGAACCTTTATTTCTAACAGTGTGCCATCTAGAGAATTGCACAATAGCTAGTATGGCACGCAGGTGCATGGTCCGTTCTGAGGTTTTACAAGGTATATAATTAAGAATGTACTTTTCTGTCTGCCTTCTTTGAGCTTCTTGCTTGAGGTTGTGCCTGCCTTGAGCCCCTTCTTTGGGGTTCCTTAAAGTTCTGCCTTCCTTGAAGTACTTCTTTAAAGTTCCTTAAAGGTTCTGCCTACTTTACATTTCTGCCCTCTTTGATGTTCTTTAAGTTCTCCTGTCTTCCTTCCTCCACAACCTGCCTGAACTCTGAACTCTCCTAGCTCCAGAAAGCCCATCTTTCGACTCTGTGTATCCCAGGACTCCACATCTCTTATTGATAACGTTACGATACCAGACAGAATGTACCTTTCTAATCTATTGCTGACCTTAAGGTACTCTGTACTGTGAAGGGTCACACCATCCTCACTGAGAGACACATGAAGCCAGAGGAAAAAACGAATGGTTGGCAGATGTTCAGAGGTCCACTGCCTTAATGGTCAACATACAGAGAGGAGGTGGGTACAAAATTAGCTCTCCAACTGTAGAAGCTAGAAGACTCCAAACAGTACACAATAAGAAACAGTTCAAAAATCTAATCTACACAGTTTTCCTCAAACTGTTGTTAAAGAATCTCAGTAGACTCACCTGTGTGGTGTCTGACACTGTGTAATATGAACTGTTAATTAAAGCCAGTGTTCATCATTTCATTGGGAACTCAAGTCATCTTAAGATACTACTGTGAGACATAAAACATAAAATGATGTAAACATTTTAAGTAAAAACATTTTAAGGGTTTTTTATTCTGACGATTCTGATTGTACTTTCATTTTTTTCTATCAAGTTTTATGCTTTTTTTATTTATGCTTTATTTATGCTTATTTTAATATATTTTTATATTATTAATGTTAGGACACTAAATTGTTGTCAAGTTGTATTGTTGTGAGTTTTGTAAGGTTCTGGTCATGTTTCTGTAAATTATAAGCAATGTTAACCTGTCACTAAAAGTGTATTTACAATTATGAATGCATACTAGTGCATATGCAGTGCAAAACATGGTGAATATGCTAATTGATATTTTCTTGAACAACATATTTTTAGGTCTGTTAAAATGAGAAGTCCGTTTTTTATATGTAAATGTTCACTAAATTACTGGAGTTGCATTAAGAACAATGGTTTAATTTCAGTAATGGGGTATTACTGTAAGTATTCAGAATAAAGCTTCCTCACAGTAATCTTGTGGTGCAGTTCACTGCAAAGTCACAGTATAAAGTTGCTATTTGACTTTTATTTACAGCTTTTATGGTAAGGTAAATTACTACACCATTAATGCAACTAGCTAGTAATTTCAAAGACTACATATTTATTGCTTAACTACAGTTTGCACTTGAAATTCTACCCCGCCCTTCTGACCTACAGTTACTACTCATGCACATATTCTGTATTGACTGGCTATGCACCTATTGTCTTTGTGTTTTTGCCTACTGTCTTTACACTATTATGTTTTTTTTAATTTTTTTTTTTTATCTATACTTTATCACTGCACCAGAGAAGTAGCCTGACAGTGCTTCCTAAATACTGTACAACCCTGTATTGATATAATGACAAAGTTGAGTTGATTTTTTAAGTGTGACACTTTCGTAGCTTCAGTGCAAAAATAAAGAACAAAGTTTGGACACAAAACATGTTTGAGCTGTGTGACTATATTTTGGGGAAAATTCTGGCATTTGTTGACATTAAAATGGAACAAAGTCAGAAGTGCAGACTTGAACCTGTTGAGTCATTGACAAATAAGACTTTCAAAGTGCTAAAAATATTCAAACATTCGTAAAGAATTCATTGCATGTTTGATATTTATTTCATAGCTTTTATAATGGTATTAATTGATTTGTAAACAGGGTCATAAATTTTACCACCCAGATAATGTCAGGTAGTGCAACCAAAATAAAAGTTATTTATCAACACTGAAAACTAAACTAGTCTTTCTACTTGGACACTCATGTAAAGCTTTGTCCTTGAACTCAAGGTCATCTTTTTTTTTGTTTTATAAACAAACATTATTACAATAATAACAATTCTTTTTGTGATTGTCCTGGGTGACTTGGTAAAGTGAACCAGCCTAACCATGACTCAACTGATGAATTATGTATTTGTGAATGACCTCAGCATTGCCCAATGAAAGTCAAATGGGGTCTTCCTTATGGTGCACGACCGTACCCACTTTCTTAAAAGCATGTCAGAATAAAAGGAAATCAAAATTTACAGACAAAAGTTTTGAGAATAATATATTAAAGCTGCCCTATTTTGCCATATGTTACGATTTTAAAGGTTTCAAACATAAAACATAGCTGACTATATTATTTAGAATTTTTGTACAACAAAGTTACCTTTTAACATTGTTTACTTAATTTGCATATATGGTTGGACAGTCGCTCCACCTGACATTTTTAGAATTTGCAGGTATAAATGCCTAAAAGGGATTTTATTTTGATCTGAAATATGAAAATACTGAAAATGCATTTACATAAGGAGGTACTGGAGAATACGGTGACGTGTCATGTATTTATTAAATGATTTAGTAGGAAAATAATAGACTTGGACACAAAAAAGGCATGTCCGTCACTGACTCTGATACAGAATGTAAATACAAAGTAAATGCAATTCATATGAACCTATGTAATCAATCATGTAATTACATTATTAGATATGAATCATCATGTAAACATGTGAACATACAGCAAAATTGGATGTTTTTGGCAAACTGTTCCTCTTAATCATTCCTCAAGCACTGTTACTAAGACCTATATACATTGCAACTTACAACCTTGTATAAAATTAAATCGAAATTCAAATAACACCAGAGATAAAAGGTGAGGAATCCTTTTCTTTCAGCTTGTCTATTAGATTATGACTCCTTCATAGGTGTCAGAGCTGATATGTGTGCACAATAATCTGATTTGACATCTTTTGCTGAGACGAAAAGGACAAAAAAAGATGTTTCAATATTTTCTCTGATATAAACTACATGGAAAACATTTTTTTTCGCACTCTTATTCGTCTACACAGTATGCCGGTGGTGTCTCCTGTATTGGCGATATAACATCACTGACAGCAGCATATGGTCCAATTAAATAGTAGAAGCTAATTTGCAGCACTCGACCCCTAAATTTTAATGTAGGTCAAATCCTGCATGAAAAGTACTTTTCCCATCTTAGTCATCGCATAAATCTCCGGTATGAAAGCCCTGCCCTTTCTTGCCCTTTGTCAATACAACAAGTGGATGCGCTGAAATCTGTTTATCATGCATTATTTGCTTGTTTACAACGCTCTCTGGCTTCTTCTTCCGCTCTCTCTGGTTCCTTCCTGCCCCCTTTCTTTCTTTCCCTCCTGATGAGGCTCTAAAAGCAAGACCCCTCCCCCCCCGTCCCTGCTGCATGGGCTTTGGGCGGGGGTGGTAGTGGTGGTGGTGGTTGTGGTGGTGGCTGGGGGGGTTCCTGGGGGCTGGAAGTCTTAATCCCAGCCTCAAATGGGAAATAAATTAGCTTCTTCACACTTAACTAGCTCTCATTTGCATGTCTCCGCCGCTGCGCTGCGTTCCTCTCCCCCGGCACTAATCCTCAAGGAGGAGGGATACACCAGTTGGACAGGGTGGAGGAGGCGATCTGGTGAAGTTCCCTCAATGTGTATCCCTCCCCGTGTGCTCAGAACAAGGGAAGGTGATGACCTGACAACATATACAGGTCACACCTGACTTCAGGTACCTTTATGTGCATGTACTTCTTTTCACAGCTGACTTTGATGACTTTAACTCGCCTTAATCCCCCACAGCGAACGTTTTCATACATTTTGTTTCTCACTAATAGCTCATTGAGACAAGTGAAGAAATTGACCTATCCAAGCTCCTCCCACAAACACATTCTAACTTTCTGAACAAAATCTTGTATCTCCAAAAAATCTATTTTTGGAGATATTTTTTGGACGGAGATGGAAAAAAAACTTCTTAACTTTCAACGTAAATTAATGTAACCAAATTTTGTTATGAGTCACTTTGGATTGTTTTTATATCTCATTTTATCATGAAATCTTGACACAGTGTAAAAGGCAGCTACCGCCCTAGTGGAGGTCCATAGACATGACTAATAGTAAATAATTAATAGTAATACAATATATTCAGTCATATGCAAAAGTTTGGGCACTTTTGGTCAAATGACATGTTTTGTTGATTTTCTAAGTAAAAATAAGTTAACATAAAATAAGGAAACATGTCTGCACAATATAATGCAGAATTACTGTTTATTTGCTAAATTTAATATACTGGAGAAAAAACTAATTCTGACCTGTGAAAAAGTTATGGTATATTTTATATTTTTGGGCAGATTTACTAAGAGAGGCACAAATTACTGACAATCTACCAACATTGTGTGCCAATCGGGGTCACCAACTTCGTAATTAACATACGACCAGCGCAATATAACCATAAGCTTTGCGTATGAAAGCCTGTTTTCACCAGTTATATCTTCCTTTGTTTCATTAGATTATTTTCTCAATATTTTGACCTACTCAGAATAATATGGAACTAACCTGAAAACAAATAATTATTACTCGTCAAGAAAGTGCTGTGTAATTAACATCGTAAGTAATTATTTAGAGAAAATAAAATTTTCATTCATAATTATTCATAAAAATGATGTTTTTTTTACTTTCTGTGTTGAAACATGATTATTTCACAACTGGAGAGATGAGCTGACTTGTGTGGCAGTTCTGGTTCTGTGCCGAGCGCATTTGGAAACTGTGTGATAAGCTAAAATTAATGCTGTAGTAGCTTTAGTAAAGCAGGGGCTGCAGAGCCAGAGTTTCAGTAAGTGCTTTTAACAACTGTTCGGAAAGGAAACCTGTTGGATGATTATTTAGGCAAACCTGCTTGCTGATGATGTTGTAAAATATACTCACAATATTAAGAATATTGCTAATTATATAATGATCTCATTAGATTTAAATAATCATGTAATTTAACTCAATTCAACTCCAGACGACTATGGGTTCAAATAGATTTTGCTTGACAAATCGCAATTACTGACAAAAGCAATAAAAAAGTCATTATGCAACTTGATTTTAATACATTTTCCTTTTCTGCTCTCATAAACACAAAATTCCGTTAAAAATGCTGAAGTTTCATTTGAAATCATGCATTTGAATGTAGGCAGTAGATGTCTTTGTTGTACAGAAAGAAAAAAATGCATTATGCATATTTTTGTAGGAATAACATCTGAAGTAGAGGCTTGAACTTACAAAATGTAAATAGACTATGAAAGTAATTCATTAAGTAATTGTGTCCTTTATTATAGAATTATCTGCAATATTACAGAATTGGACTGTTAATATCTCCACTTACACTGCAAACTGTAAACCATCAGTATCTCTACCAAATTATAATTATCAGTAGTAGTATTTATAGTAGTATATATAGTAGTAGTAGTCAAGACCTTCTATTTGAACCTTCTCAAATGTATTGATGATCATCTTGTCTGAAGTTCTTTGCTGGGTCTGTGTGAAGTGCAGGCTATGCAGTCTCTCTGCGCTGCTTCCTAATCCAAGTCTTTAGTTAATAATGATGGGCAGGTCACTTTCATCTCTTTGCCTTTGCTTATTGTCTGTTTACCATTTGGTTATTGGCTATAGCCTCTCTGTTTGCTGACTGACCTGTTGGCTCTCTTGATAGGACGGTGGAGGGACACTCTGTGTGGCCATCATTGTCAGTGCTGGTGCTGGAGGCACATGTTGCATCATGGGAGAGCTTCACATGGAGACCCTGTAAGAGGCAAATGAACACACACCATGTTACAGACATTAGCAAACACTGTAGAAACTGATTTAAAAAAGACCCTTTTAGGACTGGTTTCAAAGTCAGATCTCATCCTTCGTTATCACATTAAAAAAACAAACTGATCTCAGATCAGTTTCATTGCTGCTACAGAGAGAGAGAGAGAGAGAGAGAGAGAGAGAGAGTGAGAGACATCCACTGTTCATATCTTTAGCTGTTAATCTTGTACACAAGTACTTCATTCAAGTACTTTGAACTGTACATAACCTTGATACTTACAATGTAGGTGTGCTTAACACTCAGAGAGACAATCATTTATTTATTTAATATTCAGTCAAAACAGCCAAGGTACAAGGTATTACTGGACGTTCTGACATGTTGACACCTGACAAATTCCATGTACGTCTTGTACTCGCCAAATAAAGATTCTGATTTCGATTCTGAATAGAAAAGGAGTTATTGGAGGAACTAATTACACTGTGGTAGTAATACATATATAAACAATGCACCAATACAACAGTAAATAATAAACAAAAAAACAACACACCAAGCTTTTTTAATAAAAATAGCCCAAGAGTTTTATTTTGGCCAAATTATTTGCATAGTTTACTAAATATTATAACTTATTATAACAGTAACACATCAAAACCGAATGCAGCTGAATAAGCACTTTCAGATCACTGCATTTTTACACTCCTAGCAATAACTGAATCATCTATTATACTCATGAAAGTGTTATTGGTCAGAGTAATTTTGATCATTGATAACAACTATATGCCAGTAACTGTCCCATTAAAAAGCCTGTTCACCAGGACATACACTTGAAACATGAATCAGGGTGCAGGAGCCACCAGCAGGTGCTGCTGTACTTAAAGGAGAGGTTAGCAGAAAGCACTCTCTTCACACACACTCCACACGACTCCCAACTGTCCAGAAGTGAGCACTCAAAGTAGATTCTAAACGGTCAATTGTCTAAACGCAGCAAATGTCTGTCATTCATTCTCTAATATATGAGTTGTATGATTTTCAAAGCTAAATTAAATGATGATTGACCAGCATTAGGTTGTACAGCTGAGATCAGGACAATAGCTTTAATGTGGGAGCCACTGTGTTTTATCATGTACTGTTGATTAAAGACTATTCGAACTGTTAGGATTAAAACCTGATGCTTTTGCTTCATATTAAAAAACTGGCTAAATGGTTTCCATTCGAGACCAATAGTTTCCTGTAGAACACCTTTAGATCTCATCAAATGCATCTACGATCAGTCACAGGTCACCTGTTAAATCATTAGGATCCTTTATATTTTGACATCAACCCATCAAGAAAAACCAAAACTCCTTACAAAACCACCAGGAACTAACAGAAGCATTTAATTGCTTCTGTTTTTTCCACTGTAACTAATGCACAATGCTCAAAATGCAGAGCCGTCATCACACTTATCAAACACTACATCTGCCATGATCCTAAAATGTGAGCAGGGTGCGATGCTGTAAATCCACAAAACAAACAGCTGCTCTATTTTGAGGGTTCACCTTAAATGAGCGTTTTCTGCAGGTAAACACGGCAGCAGCACCAGGCCAATCAGGAGCTCATTAGCTGTGTTGTCAGAGGGGTATTTGACACCGGGTGTGGGCAGGACAGACCCAGGGGATGGTGCATGCTGGGACATCCCTATTGTAGATAATTGGGCCCGTGGTGCCACATATGAACCCCTGACCCCCCACCCGAGTCACACATTGAGAGGCTAGCACAGTATCACCGCTCTTATGTCCAAACAATTACTCATCTTTATGTTACGAAGAAGGATGTAATGCTTGATGTTAACCAATATGTTTAACAATACACACTACTGTTCAGAAGTGTGGAATTATTAGTGATATTAATTGTGCGTCTATCTGCAATATTTTTAAACACTGATCCCAAACTTTTGAACGCTGGTGTATGCATGTAAATTAAGTGCAAGAGGTTTTAATCCAAGCAATTTGTTATGGCTCATTCTTTATGAAATTTTCAAACATTGTAAAGGGTAGTTGGTATTTTGGTGTTAAATACATACATAAATAAATATAAAAAACAAAATGGAAAAAAGGCTGCCGTGTCTGATCCACTTGTGCCAGTGCAACATACACTAATACACCACCACTGCAGTCCTGAGAATGATCCACCAACAAAATAATACCTACTCTGTGGTGGTCCTGTGGGGGTCCTGACCATTGAAGAACAGGGTAAAAGAGGCTAACTAAGTATACAGATAAACAGATGGACTACAGTCTGTTTAGTAGAACTAAAAAGTGCTACTATGTGGTAAATGGAGCTGATAAAATGGACAAAGAGTGTCCAGGAGATGTTCCTAATAAAGTGCTAAGCGAGTGTATATATAATATACCACACTATATCATATAATATATATATATATATATATATATATATATATATATATATTATATATTTATTAGGGAAACAAAATTGAGTTTTCCATGATGTATCAGCTGTTACTTTTTTAAAAACTTATTATGTCTAAGATTGGATATACAGCATTTTGGAACAAAAGCTTTCATGTATATTTCACTGCGTGTGTATAAAATAATGGCTAACAATGAATTATGACTTAGTTGACTAAATTATTACTGTCTATAAAATAACAAAAAAATAATTAAAAACAATAGAAAGTACAAACCAACCTGCAAGAAATTTGTAATAGTGGGTAAAATGCAAATAAATCCAGAAAGCAGTGATTTATAAATCTACTTCGACCTGTATTTGGACAAAAACAGTATAAAGACAAGATATGTAATGTTTTTCTTATCAGTTTCATTGCTTTTTGTAAATATATGTTCATTCTGAACCTGATGCCTCTAACACAGTCCAGAAAAGTTGGGACAGGGCTAATTTAGGACTAGGAACATTGTGGAATGTTCATAATACGTTCAAACATAGTGGTAAATATGCTGCTGTCGCAACCTTTTTAGAATGTGTTGCAGGCATCAATAACATGGAATGAAAGTATATTTACAAAAAACTAAATTAAAAAAAGGATAATAGGGTAAAAGCTAAAATATTGTCTTTTGCATTTTCAATTTAACAGAGACTAAACAGAATTTACTAAACACTGCTTTCTGTTGCTATTAGAAGTTCACATACTACATACACACAAACTTTTTTGGAATTGGGTTTGTACCAGAAAAACCTCTGAAAACACTAAAAACACTAAAATAGAATCTTCAGTGCACGAATGAGTGCCACTTTGGACAAAACCAGATAAACCAATTCTTAACCCACAGTGCCTTCTTCATTCCTCATACATTGCAAATTCCATAAATCTCTCTTTTGGTGATATTTCTGAGCGTGTATATGTGTCCTGATTGCCATGTAAACATTGTGTGCACCCCTCCCTTTGAAGACCTGCACGCTCTGCATGCCATATTGATCTTTCCATATAACAAATTGTCTTTGCTTCGCTCATTAAATTCTGTTTAGTGTCATACAAATAAACAGAGACAGTCTTTCAACACATACAGACCCCCCTAAGCCTGCGTCTGTGCACAGAGAGAAATCCATTACACCATAATTCACTGTCTGATTATGGAAAGGCAGCCAGTGACCGCATGAGCTTTAAAACAACAATCTCTGACACGGATAAACACCTAGATTGACATCCAATATATAAATAAACCATCTAACAGGGATACAGGATTAATCCTGTGCATCATAGAATTAATATGTGCTAGGAGCGGGAATCACTAAAAGCTCTAAAATACATTCACAATACTTCAGTTACAATACAATTCTGTTGTGATGTGTAAATTTGGAGTCTAGCCCAAGGTTTCTTATTGATATAGCAGTGCTCTACCTGCCTGGGTGGAAAATCAAACCTAAAATCTTCAGGGGAAAGGTGTTATCTACCATGCTATCCAAACAGAAGCCTTGGTCCACGTTGCTTTTGGTTTCTTATTTGACTAAAATGTGTTCAATACACTTAAAATAAATAAATAAAAATAAAACAGCAAAATGTGGCCCTCTGAGCATCAATACTGTAAGCAATATATTGCAATCCTATTGTATTTTGTAAGAATGGCCAATATTGCAAAAATATAACATACGAATACATGACAATAGATTTATTTTCACAATACACATGATGCTTCACAATATTTAGGTTTTATTTTTTTTAAGTTTGTGAATAAGTTGGAACAAACAAAATGTGCCAAGAGAAAACAGTAGTGCTACATTTAAAAAGGCCACAAAACTGTGTGGTATAATTGTGCTAGAGTGCACTGAGTTACTAAATACTGATTGTTGCTTCAAGTCTCTATAATTGGTTTAGATTTCATGATATATGCAGTGCTCTAGCAGAGATGTTCAAAAGTCCTGTCATGTTTTGAAAGTCTCAAGTCTCTATGGTGTGAGTGTGAGTTGAGCCTCAAGCCTCTGTGCAGTGAGTGTGAGTCGAGTTTTAAGTCTTTGGTAGATATTTATAGTTTTAGTTTAGTTATTAGCTTTGCACTGAACAAAAGGAAACCCTTAATAAAAAGCTGACACAGCTTCGAATAACCAGCTTTTTATTATAAGAAACCTTCAGTCTGCATGTAGTGCCTTAGTCTGCAGGATAGAACTGAAGCACCACTTGCAGTAAATTTAGTGTTTAACTTGAAATGGTTGTTTAGTCTGTAGTTTGCATTGCAGGTGATTCAGCTGCAGTTTGAAAAGAAATGTGATCTGTTACTTACTAAACCTTCAGAGAGAAGCTGAGAACTTCAGCTATATTAGCTATTGACTAAGCAGTGGTGGATCTAAAACAAATTACCAGGTGTGGCAAAGGGGTGGCAGGGAGTTCGGCAGGGTGGCGATGTGAGTGTGTGAGTGGGGACACTCACACACTCACACCAGGGGGTTGGAGAGAGGTCGGCCAGTTCACCAATAGCAAAACAATTCTCCTCTTTCAGGCAAAGCGGGACAGATGAGACGTACTCACAATGTGAATGCGT